GGTTTAGGGGTTTAGGGTTTAGGGTTTTTAGGGTTTAGGGTTTAGGGTTTATTGTTTTGGGTGTAGGGTTTTGGATTTGGGGTTTAGGGTTTATGGTTTTTGGGGTTCAGGGTTTAGGGTTTAGGGTTTTTGCGGTTTAGGGGTTTAGGGTTTAGGGTTTAGGGTTTTTAGGGTTTAGGGGTTTAGGGTTTAGGGTTTAGGGGTTTAGGGTTTTTAGGGTTTGCGATTTTTAGGGTTTTTAGGGTTTAGAGTAGGGTTTAGGGTTTAGGGTTTAGGGTTTAGGGTTTTCGATTTTTAGGGTTTTTAGGGTTTAGAGTAGGGTTTAGGGTTTAGGGTTTAGGATTTTGTTTTTAGAGTTTAGGGTTTAGGGTTTTTAGGGTTTAAGGTTATGGGTTTTAGGTTTTAGGTTTATGGTTTAGGGTTTATGGTTTTTAGGGTTCGTAGGGTTTAAGGTTTAATGTTTTTAGGGTTTAGGGTTTAGGGTTTAGAGTTTAGTGTTTAAGGTTTTTAGGGTTTTTAGGTTTTAGGGTTTAGGGTTTTTAGGGTTTTTAGGGTTTTTAGGGTTTAGGGTTTAGGGTTTAGGGTTTAGGGTTTAGGGTTTCGGGTTTTTAGGGTTTAGGGTTTTTAGGGTTTAAGGTTTAGGGTTTAGGGTTTAGGGTTTAGGGTTTAAGGTGGGTTTAGGGTTTTTAGGGTTTAAGGTTTAGGGTTTAGGGTTTTGTGTTTAGGGCTTTTAGGGTTTAGGGTTTAGGGTTTAGGGTTTAGGGTTTAGGGTTTTGGGTTTTTAGGGTTTTGGGGTTTTTAGGGTTTAGGGTTTAGGGTTTAGGGTTTAGGGTTTAGGGTTTAGGGTTTAGGGTTTAGGGTTTAGGGGGGTTTTAGGGTTTAGTGTTTAGAGTTTTTAGGGTTTAGTTAGGGTTTAGGGTTTAGGGTTTTTAGCGTTTTTAGGGTTTAGGGTTTAGAGTTTTTAGGGTTTATGGTTTAGGGTTTAGGGTTTAGGGTTTTTAGCGTTTTTAGGGTTTAGGGTTTAGAGTTTTTAGGGTTTATGGTTTAGGGTTTAGGGTTTAGGGTTTTTAGCGTTTTTAGGGTTTAGGGTTTAGAGTTTTTAGGGTTTATGGTTTAGGGTTTAGGGTTTAGGGTTTTTAGCGTTTTTAGGGTTTAGGGTTTAGAGTTTTTAGGGTTTATGGTTTAGGGTTTAGGGTTTAGGGTTTTTAGGGTTTAGGGTTTTAGGGTTTAGGGTTTTTAGGGTTTAGTGTTTAGGGTTTTTAGGGTTTAGGGTTTTTATGGTTTAGGGTTTAGGGTTTAGGGTTTAGGGTTTAGGGTTTAGGGTTTAGGGTTTTTAGGGTTTTTACGGTTTAAGGTTTTTAGGGTTTTTATGGTTTAGGGTTTTTAAGGTTTAGGGTTTAGGGTTTAAGAGTTTAGGGGCATACATTGCACTTTGTATTTTACATACATTGCAGTATGTATTTTCATATCTAAGATCTATACTTTTATATTTTCATTATTTATTCTTTGGTGTGAAAAATTTACAAAAGCGAAGATGTATTTTATTTTTAATAGGTGATAATGTTTTTTTTTATGCTTCTTGCTGGTTTTCCTAAATCCTCGCCCCGTAGGTAACGCCGGCGGATCAACAGACCACCCAACGGCAATCCTTCAACGTTCATGGTGCCCCGCATCCCCATCAAACCAAGCTTCCCGCACTTCACTTCTCCCTCCTCGCCGACGAGAACTGATCTCATCTCCTCCCATGAAATAGCACAATACATAACAACTCCGGCGTAAAACACCCAAAGATGCTTCCTTTTCTGGAGCAGATTGTCGCCGACCTCCTCGACGACCCCAACGGCGGCCTCGTCGTTCTCTCCTCCGGCCTCCCCATCCACTCCCTCGTCGCATCCCTCCTTCTCCTCCATCATCCCTCTCAGGGCTCGCTCCTCATCCTCTCCGCCTCCGACTCCCAGAAATCTTCCATCTCGCGCACCCTCCTCCAAGACCCTAACCCTAATCCCATTCGCCCGACTGACATCCCCGGCGACGTTCCCTCCCATCACCGTACCGCTCTCTACGCCAGCGGCGCTTCCTATTTTGTCACGCCTCGCATCCTTATCGCCGACCTTCTCACCTCTCGCGTCCCACCCTCCTCCATCGCCGGTCTCCTCATCCTCAATGCCCATCGCCTCACCGATACATCCACGGAGGCTTTCATCGCCCGCACTTTGCGATTTCTCTCCCGCAATGCTTATGTTCGTGCACTCACCGACCACCCTCACGCCATGGTCTCCGGGTTCGCTAAGGCTGAACGAATCATGAAGTGCTTGTATGTGAGGCGGCTCCACCTCTGGCCGCGCTTCCATGTTCTTGTCTCTGGGGATCTGGAACAGAGTCCGCCTGAGGTGGTGGATATCAGGGTGCCGATGACGCCTGCAATGAGGGGGATTCAGCAGGCTGTGTTGGAGACGATGGATGCATGTCTCAAGGAGCTTAGAAAGACTAACAAGGTGGATGTTGAGGATCTTACTGTGGAGAATGGCCTATTCAAGTCATTTGATGAGGTTGTGAGGAGGCAGCTCGATCCCATATGGCACACGCTTGGGAAGAAGACCAAGCAGTTGGTCAGTGATTTAAGGACACTGAGGAAATTGTTAGATTATCTTGTCAGGTACCTTCTTTTTCTGGTGAAGCAGCTTAAGAAAAGGTTCTTTTGTTGGAACGTACTAGAGTGCTGTTTGATTTTCTCTTACCCAATGCCATATACATTTACATGGATTACTTTTAAGGGATAATTACATACATGGCACTTGAAACATTGCTACTTGCAAAACAAGCACAAAGGTGATTTTTGAACTACAAAACTAATGCATCTATGTGTGCCACGATCAAGCCATTTGTAATTTGATAAAAATGAAAAATGTGGGTTGGGTTTTTATCATGAATTTTGATATTTGTGTGAGAATTTGCTAGTTTTGTAAATAAAAATATTCATGTGCTATTTTTTAATGCATTTTGGTAGATTAAAAAATTAATTTCAAATACAGATAAAATTAAAATACTCGTTATTTGAAGAGCATTTCTCTTTTGATGATTGTTAGTGCCAATTGAGATTCTAGTTATTCTCATTAGTACTTGATATTGTACTCATTTTGATCTTTTTTTTTTTGGTAAAAGGTATGATGCTGTGACATACTTGAAGTATCTCGATACATTGAGGGTTTCCGAAGGAGTTCGTTCTGTTTGGATATTTGCAGAATCTAGTTACAAGATATTCGAGCTTGCAAAGAAGCGGGTTTATCAGGTTTTGCGGGCAGATGGAGTAAGAATAGTGGCTGACAGGAAGAGTATTGTAGGCAAGAGGAAGAGAGTGAGTGAGAATAGTTTGATGAACGAGATGGAAAAAGGTAGTGTAAGCATTTGTCGAATTACATACATTCTTAGACAATTTTGCTCTGAAGGGCTGAATTGTAAAAAAATGGAACTTTAAATTAAATTTTATTTGCTCAAGCAGACTGATACATATGTTTTGCATTTTTTACATGATAGATGGCCTACAATCTGAAAATTCTTCATCTCATTCAAACAAGATGGATAGTGCAAAATTGGAAGCGAATGTTGGAGTTGTCTTGGAGGAAGTATTGGAGGAAGCACCTAAGTGGAAGGTGTTGCGTGTGAGTGAGTGAGTTTCTATTGGCTTTCCTTTTATACATCACACACAATTCTTATTTATTTACATATCTCACGCTTAAAATTTCATATTTACACACATAACACTCAAATCCTTAATATCACACAAATCTTTGATATCACATAAAAAATAGCACTATTACTACTTTTTAAAAGTTTTAAAAGTGAAATACACATTAAAAGTGAAATACACATTTTCTTGCATAGGCTTAAAGCACCTAAAGTGCTATGTATGTACTATGAAAGTTTAGGTGTGAGCTATGTAAATACATAAGAACTGTGTGCTACCTATGTAAATTTTCCTTCTTTTTAAGCTGTAAATTTTAGTTTCTCATGCAATATGCAAAGTTCAACATGGCTGCTGCGTGATTAATTTCAGGAGTTACTTGAGGAGATAGAGGTAGGACGTAGGAAGGAAGGTTCACGAAAAGAAGGAGAAAATTCCATTGAAAATAGAGGCGGTACTAGTGATATTGTCTTGGTTGTTTGTAAAGATGAGCGCTCGTGCTTGCAGTTGGAAGACTGCATTATTAAAAACTCACATCAGGTGCCCGACTACTTTGTGAACTGATTAAAGCTATTCTTAATTTTTCCGATCAACTGTGTCTACAGAAAAATCAAATTTGTATTTTTTTTGGAATGTTTACATTAGTTCGCTCGAACTATGTTCTATATAGATATTCGAACATGGTTCTTTTTTATTGACAAACAACTCATTCTGTTATTTTGTTTATTTCTGTCTACATCACGCCATAATGTTATTTTGTATCAAGCGAAGAAAGTGAAGCCAGTTTATGTTTGCCACAATGGAGTCTTTAGTGAATCCTACATGTGGTTGGGGTTTATATTTGTCCTTTCTTTAAAACTGTTTAACATTTATATCAATATTTGTATTTTTGGGCAAGTATGTATATTGCAAAAAAGGACTTTAACCTGTGCTGTATTGCCATTTTTAATCTATACCTGCTTCTAAAATGCATTATTTTCAAATCATTTACTTTCCAAGCGTGATTATTTTTCTATTTTAGGGAATGTTAAGAATTCCTAAACAATCCATTACTTTTTATATAGCAAATATAATGATTGTGCCTGTGAACTGAAGTAGATTTTTATTGTAATTGAATTCGTTCTTTCTGGTTAGAATTGGACTTGATGTGTTGACAGAGATTATATTTTATATTGCAATCGAATCCATTTCTTACAAGTCTAACCAAATATTTTAGAGTTGGAGGCTGGCGGGGTGATGGAGAAAGGTGGCAGCAAGTTTAGAGTGGTTGGGGTTTCAAGTTTTTTCCATATTTATCAATGAATTTTTGGCTAACTTGTTCTTTGAAATTTAGAAGGTGCTTTAAAAAAAGTTTAAAATAAAAAAAATAAAAGATTGTTCTTAAATAAAAATTGCCAGTGAACAGTCGGAAGTAGAACTCATTTTTTTTACTTTTAGGTTGGGGCAACCTTACGAATATATGGCTTTCACTTATTTTTCTTCTAAACAGTTTGTCTTCTTTGACAATCATGCATTAATGATTCTTCCTTGCTTTTCTTCAATTCAATGCTTCTCATTGATAGACAATTTAAATTTATGTTTTAAAACTCTAAATTCGTGTTTTGTCCTGAAAATTTTCTCAGTCCATTCCCTTCAACTTATTTATTTTTGTTTAAATCAACTTTTCTGGGATTATTCTTTACATATCTCCTTTTGTGTTATCTATTTAAAGAAATAAACCTTAAGATATGTTTTCTTTTTTTAAATCTTATTTGTTTAGGTTTGAGTGAGTTGGCTGTAAATAATTACTTTCTTTTCCCAAAATCAAACTGATGTTTCATGCCAACTTCGGTAAATTCATTAAATTTTCTTGATACCTTAAGGTTGTTTATCTAAAATTTTGATTTTAGGTAATGCGACAAGAGTGGGAGAAGTACTTATTTAGCAAGGCGGAATTGCATAGCTTGCAGAAACGTAATAAGAAAAGATCTCAAGATCCTGAAGGATATGGTGTTCTTGATGGAACAGTTACTGGAGGATCCTTTGAGAATTCTGATCCTACCACCATTAACAAACTGGAAAATAATGCATTGTTAGCTGCAGCATCAGAGATATGCCATATAGATAAAGAAGAAGCCACCATAAATGATGAGTCCCGACCACTTCCTAGAAGACGCAGTTCTGCCAAAGGAAGAAGGAGAGGTCAATCTCAGATAGCACGAAATTCTCGAAATAATTTTGAAAAATCAACAGAAAAGGTTCAAATTGTAAAAGTAAATTCAGAAGCTGCAAAACCAGAAGCTGAAATTAATGTTCAGAGAAATGATCTCATTGATAAAAGCCTAGAGTCCAGTGATGCTAAGCCGATTCCTCCCATACAATTTTATGATTTAGAGAATGATGAACACATACTTGATGTCTGGAGACCAAGTGTAATTATTGTTTTTCACCCAGATATGAAATTTGTGAGAGAGATTGAAGTTTATAAAGCGGAGAACCCCTCGGTAAAATTGAAAGTTTATTTTCTCTTCTATGAGAACTCTACTGAGGTGCAGAAATTTGAAGCAAGCATACGGAGAGAAAATGGAGCTTTTGAATCCCTGATTAGGCAGAAGTCCTTGTTGATGATACCTGTGGACCAGGTTTGATCTTCTAATATGCTGATATATTTGATTTGTCTTAAGATTAGGCTTGATTTTTTTGAGGTTTTAGGTTAAATTATGAGGTTCTTACCCTATATTCAACAATTTGTTTTTGCAAGATTTACATACATACCACTTAATTCCTATGTATTTATATATCTAACATCTAAAATGCAATATTTACATATATTGCCCATTGTCTATGCATAAAAATGTTTATTTGACATTTTATAAATTAAAATAGTGGCACTTTTGAAGTGGTCTGAAAGATTTGGATGGTATAAATCTAAAAAGTAAAGTTTAGGTGTTAGCTATGTAAAAACATAGGAATTGGCTGATTATATGTAAATGACCCTCATTTTTATGCATCATGAAATGTTTTGCAGGCCATAATTTTTACTCTTATACTATGAATAGGATGGACGATGCATTGGACCCACGCCTCTCGGCGAGCCGAGCTCTGTTGTTCTGCAGAACTCGTTAACTAGAAAGGCAGGTGGCAGGAAGACAATGGAGAAAGAGATGCAGGTATCTGTGATAGATCAATATAAGCCAAAAATTTTGAATGGCTATTCAGTCAAGTCCTTGTAATTATTAGGGAAATTTATATAAATAGCACCCAATTCTTATGTTTCTACATATCTCATATCTAAACTTTCATATTTACATACTTACCACTTCAGTGTTTTAAACTTGTGCATAAAAAGATATATTTCACTTTTAAAAGGTGGTAGTAATATCATTTTTTATGTGATATTAAAAATTTGAGCGCTATGTATGTAAATATGTAAGTTTAGATGTGAGATATGTAAATACATAAGAATTGTGTATGTAAATGCTCGTTATTATTACTTATTTTAATATGACTCTATTTTAGGTCATAGTGGATATGAGGGAATTCATGAGTAGCCTTCCAAATGTTCTTAACCAAAAGGGCATGAAAATCATACCTGTTACTCTAGAAGTTGGCGATTATGTCCTTTCACCCCTAATTTGTGTCGAAAGGAAGAGCATTGGTGATTTGTTTCAAAGCTTTGCTTCCGGTCGGCTATATCATCAGGTGGAAACGATGGCTCGCTACTACAAAATACCTGTTCTTCTAATCGAATTTTCACAAGATAGAAGCTTTTCTTTCCAGGTATCACATTTTGTTTATTATTGTTATGAGAACTGTGTCAAAATGGCCCCTTGATTCTTTACGGGGGGTTATTTTAGTCATAGAGTTTATAAAAGGGGTTAGTTTAGTTCTCAAACTCTTATAATACGAATTGAAATAGTCCTCATTAAGAACTATTTTATCTCTGTTAAAATGGTATGTGGACTAATTTTAGCACTTTATAAATTCTGAGCCCGAAGGATTCATGTAGTCGACCCCACTTAGTGGTATAAAGGTTTGTTGTTGTTGTTGTATAAACTCCTAAAATGACCCCCATCTAAATAGTCAGGGGACTATCTTGACATTTTACTCTTACTATTACACTTAAGTAAAGACATGTAATTTGTAACTTATGATAATTTGATAACATGCTCAAAACTTCATTTTATAATTTGGCCTTTCATCGGTTATTGGGACTTTAGCGAACCTTGATTTTCTTAAAACACGCTAACTAGTTATTTGTTTATTGTAGTCCTCGAGTGAGCTCGGCGATGATGTTTCGCCAACAAGTATAATATCAAAACTTTCATTGCTCGTCTTACATTTTCCACGGTTACGGCTGGTTTGGTCTCGCAGTATGCATGCGACAGCAGAAATATTTGCGTCTCTGAAAGCAAACCAGGATGAACCAGACGAGAACAAGGCTATCAGGGTAGGTGTTCCTACGGAGGATGGCGTTGTAGAAGATGATGTTAGGTAAATACTAATTGTTTTGGGTTGTATTTTTTATTTGCTAAAAAGTACCATACATCTTTTCATGCATATGGAGGGTGGTATTGGTGTAGATATGTAAATACATAAGAAATGAGTGGTATGCATGTAAATTTTCCTAGATTTTATCATATGCCAAACTCAAGATTCAACTTTTCCTGTTTTTGTAGAGCCGAAAACTATAATACTACGGCAATTGAGTTCTTAAGGCGTCTCCCAGGCGTGACTGATTCCAATTATCGAACTTTGATGGATGGCTGTAAGAGTCTTGCCGAGCTCGCCCTTCTTCCTGTTGAGAGGCTAGCAGAGCTCATGGGTGGTCAGAAACCGGCAAAGATGTTGAGGGAATTCCTCGACGCAAAATGTCCAACTATGCCATGATACAGTAAGTCGATTATCACATTTCTTTCGAATTTTCAGAAGAAACTTAGGATTAGGCAAACAAAGATCGAGTCTATGATATGTAATTTATAAAAGTTAAAAAATTAATTGATCATTCAATATTATTGGATGATCAATTAATACATAGATACGATGTCTATAAAAATCTTGAATTTATATTAAAAAAATTGAGAATATAGTTGATAATAAATTTTTTAAAATTTGAGTGTTGATAATATGATGTAATAAGTGAATGTCATAGAAAATTGAAGTTAATTTTTTATAAAACTGCACTTAGATCTCTTATGTTGTATGATATATGTTTGGATGATAACAATGTTAGCAAAGCCAAGTCCAATGTGTTAGACATGAAAATGATGTGGATGCAGAAACAACAACGACAAGTCTTTATCCCACTAATTGGGGTCATCTACGTGATTTTTTTTTTTATTGCGTCCTATTGAGTATCATATTTTCATTTAATTCTAATAAATTGAGATCATTTTTTATACAACATGCCCAAGTCTTTTTACTCTGCCTTTATCTTTCTTAACATAAGTTGAATCTATTGATGTGGATGCAGAAACAACAACGACAAGCCTTTATCCCACTAACTGGGGTCATCTACATGAATCTTTTTTTTTATTGCGTCCTATTGAGTATCATATTTTCATTTAATTCTAATAAATTGAGATCATTTTTTATACAACATGCCCAAGTCTTTTTACTCTGCCTTTATCTTTCTTAACATAAGTTGAATCTAAAACATCTACTTTCTTAACTGGATCATCAGACGGTAGACGTTTAATATGACCAAACCATCTAAAATGACTCTCTTAATCTCGTCTGCCAGGAGTTACACCAACCCTGTCACGAATTTCTTAACTGGATCACCATACGGTAGACGTTTAATATGACCAAACCATCTAAAACGACTCTCTTAATATCGTCTGCCAGGAGTTACACCAACCCTGTCACGAATATATTCGTTTCGTATTTTGTCTCTAAGAGTCAAGTCAGTCACCCACCTAAGCATTCTCATCTCAGTAACATTTAACTTAGTTCTATGCTTTTCTTTTATAGGACAACATTCTGCGCCATAAAGCATTGCATGTCTCACCATCATCTTATAAAGTTTTCCTTCAAGTCTAAGCGGTACTTTTCTATCACCCAATACACCCCGTGAGTTCCTCCCCTTCAACCATCCAATTTGAATTTTACTAATAACATCTTCATCTATATCATCATCACTTTGAACTATGGACCCGATATATCGAAAACGTTCACTCCTTTTGATGCTTTGATAAAATGTTGATATGGATATATGTATAAAATTTTGAAGGGGACAACAGAATAATAGCTAGTGAAGATAAGCCAATGGAAATAAATAAGACAGTTTTGGCATATTAAGTGTGCCTATGGATAACAGATGAAACTGTACATGCTTTGAATATTTGGAGAGCATAACCTTGTCTTTATCTGCTGCAGGGTATTTAAATTCACTCTGTTCATCAGAGTTGCAGACTTTTCATTGCCACCACATCTTGGGGAATAATTCTTTTTGTCTCAGCATCGTAGTTTGATTCTTTAAAAGCTTATGTACTGTTGACTTCAGAGATTTAACATTGTAATTTCTTTAGTTATTTGCATTCCTTTTCCATCACATGTGTATTTTATTTACATCAATAAAATGTAACTATTATTATCTTCTTTTTTTTTTAATTGAAATATAAATTTTCACGCATAAGTTTATAACACCAATATGTTAAAAGCATAAATATCAAATTTGAGTGTGAGATATGTAAATGCATAGGAATTCTGTGGTACGTAAGTTTTTTATTTTATTTTATCAGCCAGGCATTTATTGAAAGCATTGGAAGACCTGCTTCTACCTGTGATGAATATTATATTTTCATTTTATTTATGAAGAATACTTTGGTCCAGCTTTATGAAATAGACTGGTTAGTCTTCTTAAATGTTATATCTAGCATCTATTTTACATACATCCCACCTAATACTGATGCATTTACATATCTTACATCTATACATTATTTTTTTATACTTGTATCATCCAAATAATTTTCTTATAACCAGCAAATTTTAACAGTTCAAGTTGAAAAAAAAAACAATCATAGAAATTAAAAAAAAAAAACAAAAAAAAAAACCCTGAATTAATATTGTGGTTACGGTCTGAAACGGAAAACAGATAAAATTGGAGGGTAATATTGTGGTGACGGTCTGAAACGGAAAACAGATAAAATTGGAGGGTCTTAAATGTTCTCATCATAAGCACAATAAAGCAGGCGAGTGCATACCTACTGGAGAATAAGGTATAAAACAGCAAATATGCTTCGGGTGTACAGACACAAATACAAGCTTGTTTGATCAAAGAAAAAGAAAAGGAGAGAAATCATAGAAGCATCTCTATATTTAATAATTCCAAACGGTAAACTCTCATTCTTCAGCTGCTACAAACAAAGTGTCAACTTCCAAAACAGTGCTTTCAGCTTCCGTTATCTCTGGACCATCTTGGCCACATTCCCTCACTTCTTCCTGCAAAATTAGGAACAGATTAATCCAATCACATAGAAGCTCGAGCACAAGGAGGGAAGAGATGAATCGATTAATGAAGATTTACATCCATACCACTTAATTCCTATTTATTTACATATCTAATACCCAAACTTCAATTTTTACATATATGTCATCTTATCTGTGTATAAAAAGGTGTATTTCACTCTTTTTTAATAAAAATAGTGGTATTTTTTATGTGATAGAAAATATTACAACAGTATAAATGTAAAGAATAAAGTTTAGGGGTTAGATATGTAAGTACATAAGAATTGGGTGTATGTAAATGCCCCCAATGGTTAAGGAAGATTTACATAATGTAAAGAATAAAGTTTAGGTGTTAGATATGTAAGTACATAAGAATTGGATGTAAATGCCCCCAATGGTTAAGGAAGATTTACATATATATCACTTAATTCTTCTGCATTTACATATCTACAACCTAAACATCAAATTTCATATACATATGTCATCTCATTTATATATGAAAAAGGTGTATTTCACTTTTTAAAAGTTAAACAAGTGATATTTTTGATGTAATAGGAAAGATTACGGCAGTATAAATATAAAAATTGGGTGTATCTAAATGCCCCAATGATTAAGGAAGATTTACATATAATATCTACCACCTAAATATCAACTCTTACATATATCTGTTATCTCATCTATGTATGAAAAAGGTATATTCCACTTTTTAAAAGTTAAACAAGTGGTATTTTTGATGTGATAGGAAAAATTATGGCAGTCTAAATGTAAAAAGTAAAGTTTGGTGTTAAATATGTAAATACATAAGAATTGGGAAATGTGTATGTAAATGCCCAAACAATTAATTAATACCAGTGTTGCTTTCAGATCGGCTAGCAAAACCTCAAGCCTATTTCGGCAATTGGGAATCATCATCCTCGACTCGGCCAAAACGTTCTCCTGTTTTTCACATCACAGTTTTGGCAGTTTCTGTTATGTAGCTTCATTTATGGAAAGAAATATGAAATCTCCAATCTTGTTTTAAATATTCTTTTGTTTCACAATCAATAAAGCTTGAGATTGTGAAACCATAGAAAACAGATTCTAATTCAGCTTCTTTCATAAATCATGTGAAGAAAATTACCTACCAATATGAAGGAATGAGAACTTATCCAAAGAATTTTCAATTCTTTGGTTAGTTAGGGAAAGGTAATGTCCACAAGCTATAATCATGATATTTGAGCAAACAAATTTTATGAAAGAAAAATGCGTTCAAGCTGTTATCAATTCATCAATAATATTAAAATGTACTAACAAACTAATTCATTGAAAAAAAGAAATATGAAAGAATTGCATTAAATTAATGCAATTAACTAAAATATGTTATTATTGAATATATAATTTAGTGAGTTATACTGAATTAAATTTTATTTAAATAATACATCAAATGTAATACGAGCTTTCATCGAGCATATAATAGGACATTTAAAAAATTATTAATTTAACAACAAACAAGTTTGGTTGTTAATATAAATAAACATGTTGAATCGTGTTTAAGTTTAGTTCATTTAATCTTTGAGTTCACAAAATATATTCAAACTTGTTCATTTATTAATTTGAATAAACTTGATCTAGTATTAATCAAACCAAGTTTGAGTTGTTCATCAAGCGCATAAGTTCATTTATAGCCCCTACTAAACAGGCAACTTTTTATTGCTAATTGAATAACTAGTGTGTTGTAGAACATTTGAATAAGTTTTTTGATCTAACTAGACAACATACTAAGGAAAGAAGAGAAAAACCAATAATCAAAACATAATACAATTAAACAAACAAGAATCTACAGTTCATTCATCTGAAATATTCTTTAAGCCTGTACAGGTTCAATTTCACAGACTGAAGGGAAAAAGCATAAAAATACCAATCAATAAAATCTAAAGACTACAACTGCTCACTTTTTTCCTCCTTATAATCACTATCTTCAATTAAGGCCCCGTTTGGGGCAGCTTATTGGGAGCCGCGGCGGTATGAAAACACCGCTGTCGTGTTTGGAAAACACGCTTGCACCAACTTTTTCGTGCCGCTCCGATGCAGTTGGAAAATAATGTTAATAGATTCCCAAGCTGAGAAGGGGCCGCGTCCGGCTTTAGCTTTGTGCGTTAGGGTGAAGAAATTCCTCCCGTGCCCCTCTCTGCTCCCCTCACCCTCAACTTCTTCTTCCTCGCGGTGTAGTACACAAATTAGGTAACATTCCAACCTCTGCTCTCCCTCGCCCTCTCCCTCCTAACGAAACTCTATTTTCCCGCCTCAAATGAGGTATGCTTTCGACCCTTCACTTGTGCCTCGTTGCATGTTTGTTTGAATGCATCATTGTTTGTTTTGGAGGTTAAATGCAGTTTTTACGGAATGTTGGATGCTAGATCTGAATTTTCGAATGGATAGTTTTTTATATTTTACCATCTGGCGGTTTGGATGAGTGATCTGAACATAACTTTTCAATATTTTGCTTGGTAGAGTAACTACTGCTCATCCATTTGGATGATCATACTTCACCTGTTATATTATTTTGTGAGTATTTACTGTTCCTATTGAAAGAAGAAAGGGCTAAACAAAATTAATGAATTTTGAAGTACTACTTTCTTCTTCTTGTTCCTATGAAAAAATTTCATGGTTCGAAATGTTAGAATTGCAATATTGGAATTTTGGAGTGCTTGGGATCTATTTTCCAATTGGAATGCATGGGAATATTTTCAATTCCTGTGATTTTTAGAGAAGAAATTTAAGTGGGGGGGGGTTTACATACCTGCCACTTCATTTCCTATTGAAATCCTATTCACTGTTACAAGAAAATATAATTGTGGATTTACAGACATACCACAATTATTTGAATGTGGGGGGGGGTTTACATACCACTCTATAATGGGACATTTACATACATACCACTATTCTGAATTACTATGCATTTTAGTTAGAAAATATATAATGGGGCATTTACATACAGAACACCCAATTCTTTGAAAAAGCACTTTAGTTGTATAATGGGGAATTTATTGGTCTTGGAGTTCTATGTATATGGCGTTGGTGTTGAGATGAGTTGCAAGCTATCTCTGGAATGGGGCAATATTTGAATGTTGTTTAGATCCATTTATGCGAAATTGTAGCTATCTATAGCTGGGTATTTACATACATGCTAGAGATATTGCATGTATGCGGAATTGTTTATAATGCTTGGGAGGTCAGTGATGAAAGCTCTTATATTGTCCTGGTGCTTGGGAAGTCAGTGATGAAAGCTCTTATATTTTACTTGTTTATAATGCTTGGGGCATTTACATATAGTTTTATTTCTGCTCTTATATTGTCCTTGTGCTTTGCAATATATAGCAATATATAGTGGGGAAAGCTTGGGGGAAAGCTTGGTAATGTTGTTTGGTACATTTCTATGGGGTTTAGCCGAGAAGGCTGCTTTGAGAGAATCTATCACAGATGCTATATCTAAATGTTGATTCAATCAAGCTTCTTTATTTATTATATGTTCATTTGGGATGTAATTCATTCTAGTATGGATTAGTATTTTATGCTTTTATTAAGAATTTTGTATCTTTCATTTGGGATGTAATTCGTTGTATTATGAATTTGCATTTTGTTTTAAATTCTTTGTTTTGTTTTGTTTATGTTTTGTTTTGCTTTTGTTTTTTTTTTTTTTTGTGGGTGTGCGAGGTCAGTGATGAATGATGGAAAATATGACCTTATGAGTTATTTTGGATGGCCGATTTGATGTTCTTATCTAGTGTTGAATGTGTGTTCCTAAAGTAGGCAACTGATATCCTCCTTGTTTTTAGTGCATCGACTTATGAGAATTTATTTGGATGGCCTTTTTTTTGGTGATATACATATCTGATATAGGATAATCGTCCCTGTGGATTGAAGACAACCAAGAACTTTTTTTTAAGGTCCACTGTCGCCATTCAGTGACAGACACGTAGGTTGGAGTACTTACTAGTCTGAGACCGCACACTCACTTTTTTTTTAAATGCGTATTCCGGTCGAACTGATTTTCCTTTATTTCGGCTCTCATATATAAAACTTAATTTAATTTTATGATCTGAGAAATGATCCTTTTGGTTGTTTTATCTCAGTAGCAGCATGAGCTCTAGGATTTCAGGGACTTCCCAAGTTGTGTTGTGTTACTGCGGACTACCGGCTCCCTTACTCACGTCACGCCAGCCTCATAGCAGTGGAGACAGTCCTACGGTTGTCGGAGGGGCGTTTCAGCACGATGTGGTTTCTTCCGTTAGGCCGACATTCCAACATACTCCCATGCCGACAGTAATCGTGGTACGATGGTTTCCCAAGAGGACAGTGCTGCTGAGGACAGACGACGTCAGAGTTTTAAATTGAACGTTTTAATTTGTTTACTCTTAATTGTAATTGTATTTCTTTTTATTTATATTTTTTTATACTTATGAAATGGTGAGCAATGTATTTTAATTTTTGTAACTAAACTGTAATAATTTGAGACATTTGTTTTATCTATTATTGTACATATACAGTTTTGTTGCAAACAGCTTAAGAAAACAGAGGCGGAATGATCATTTATCCAACAACAGGTCCCAATAAGCTATCTAAATAAGCTGCCTCAAACAGCAAGCTAACTTATTCTAATAATCTGCAGATTATCAAATTATTAGAATAATCTGTTTATCAGCAGATTCTAAATAATCAACAGCTACCCCAAACAGACCATAAGATTAAGATTTGTAGTGAAAAATTAATCATCCTTCTAAAGTGACTTAAAATGCATTTAACTATTCCTCTTGAATTAATTGAAATTGCATTCTGAGCCTGAGGTTTCTTTATCAAATCAGCTTCATTCGAACTTAATTTTCTCAGCCTTGGATGGTAATTTGTCTTAAGCCAATTTAACGTTCTTATCTACCAAAGCTCACAAGGCAAACTTTACGTCAATTTCTTCCTTCTTTGAAGGCTGCAATTCAAGGATCCAAAGTCCTTGGGTTGATTTGACATCACTCTTAAAAATCAACTGTAGAGCAGACTTGTCACCCATAATGCGGATTTTTCACAAAATGAAAATCCAAATTTTAAAGTTTAATTTCTTGCATTTATTCAAACAATAGGATTTTGGTGATACTGCTATCAAAGTTTTGAGAAAAATAGACTGAATTTTGAATAGGCTCGATGCCTTTTCCCTTTGTTTTCATTCCATTAAATAATAATCTTACAATCTATTTTAGGTACAAAATAAAGTTCATAATCTATTTTAGGTAATTAATAATACATATTCCTAATCTAAATATTCAGCTAAAAGGAAAATAAATCATAATAAAGACAATGAAAATAATTTAAATAAGTAAGCTTTTAATTATAGAAAACTTCTAATTTAACTCTGATTTCCATACTTCCTGATTGATATCCCCCCTCAAATTGATGTTGACTGATTCAGAAGCATCAAATTGCCAACAAGAAACTGACAACATTATTTGGACCAAAAATCCTCAAGCTGTGAGTGTCGAAGTCAAAGGTACCAAAACCTGAGAGTGCCGAAGCCATCGATCTACGAAGGAGTGCCGAAGTCGAAGCCGAAGCAGACGAAGCGAAGCGTAAGAAGCAATCGAAGATGCCACAGAAGCAGTGATGTCTAGCGAAGAAGATTCGAATCAGACGAATAATAATACAAATATAACAACTCTTTTCAACCCAAGAATCCTTGTATTCCACAATGAATGGATTTTGCATTTCAGAATAATTTCCATCTCTTGGCGTGCAGACATTTGTTGCGCCAGTACCTAGAAGATCCCCGTATCGTCCATATCCCCCCCGTCAGATCCACCTCCATGAATGGTTTTGCTCCTTGTCCGTCGGATCCGGCCTTATGCTCTGCATCCTCCCTGGATCTGCGTCGCCAATCGCACCAATCCAAAACCCTTCTATCAATCAAATGAATACAAAACAAGCACAAATAACAAGAAAATAGGATGTCCTGGATTCTCTCACGTGCTGGTTCCTATCAGCCATCGATTGTATCACAGAAGATGTCGGGGTGATCCTCTGCTTCGATTCCGTGAGAGACAACAAGCAGTCACAAAACCTTTATAGAAAGTCTCCTAAAGAAGACGATCGACAAAGCTTATAGGGCATACGAGGGGGTTTTATTTGTAGCTGAAAAATTAACCACGGTTTGAAGATCGAAGGAGGATGACGCAGCCAAGCAAACGAAGGAGGACAATGTAGCCCGGGATGAAGTAGTAGAAGGCGAATCGAAGGCGAAGAAATAGTTCCTCCCTTCCCGCTGGCAAGAGGCCGGCGGGAAGGGAGTCTTGACAGTCCTCCAACAACTATCGGTGGTTAGGGCAAAAATTTGGCTTTGATACCATTTCAAAGTTTTGAGAAAAATAGTGAGAAAAATAGGTTGAATTCTGAATAGGCTCGATGCATTTTCCCTTTGTTTTCATTTCATTAAATAATAATCTTACAATCTATTGTATGTACAAAATAAAGAGCATAATCTATTTTAGGTAACTTAATAATACATATTCATACTCTAAATATTCAGCTAAAAGGGAAATAAATCAGAATAAAGACAATGAAAATAATTTAAATAAAGAAGCTCCTAATTATAGTAAACTCCTAATTTAGTTGTCTGATTTCCATCCTTCCTGGTCGACAACTACTTTGTGAGTGTGTTTAACTCTATATATTATGAAGAGTAAATGTTTTTTAGTTGTAGGGCCTATTTGGAGGAGCCACAACTATTTGAAGAAGCAAATGTTCAAAAAGCTGCGGTAGCTGTTACAATTTTTATTTTTTTAAAATCAGATCATAACTTTCTAGCAACCACCGCAGGTAGTCAGATTTGGTGGAAAAATGCAGTTTTCAACTATAGTTTTTTTAGGAAGTAAAACACAGTTTTTCCAAATAGGAAAAACTGTGATGTGGCACCGCACCACCCGCCACCCCAAATGCACCCGTAGTCTCCCACAACTGCGTTGATATTGATTCTTGAATTTTGTCACATAATGTCAATGAGTAATTGTTGGAGCTAATGAATTTAGTTCTCTCTTGCGAAGACACTCATTTTTTCAAGTACAATCGCATACAAAGTAATAAAAAAAAAGGTCATTAGTTAGAGCAATCTATGATGAGAGATAGAGAAGCATAGAAGAATAGTCAATTTTGATTCATCCATCAATAGATGCAACTACAAGTGATGAATGCAATATGTATATAAGCAGGGTTTACAACATAAGATCAAACGAAATTAGAATTAAAATCAAATCAAATCTAAATCTAATTAATTCAAATCTCTAACCAAATTCCATTAAAAAAATATAATTTAAAATTAAACTAAATAAAATCTAAAAAACTAGAAGAGCTCGTGAACCTGATTTCACCATCTAAATATTCTTATTCTAGAAACGCTAAAGATAGATAATTTATTCGTTGCCCAGAATAGGATTCGTATGGTTGGCTAATCCAACTGCAGTACTATTCAAGCTAAGCAAAACTAAAATCTCCAAGGTACTAGTTAGGCATAGTGCTCCTAAGACACTGACTACATATTTTAATCACCCATCTTTAACTTTATAAATATTGAAACCATAAGCATCATCACTCTTTATATAATAGATTTAAAGTACTTATACATGAGATCTAGATAAGACTTGATCAATAGTATCGTAGTTAAAATGCATAAAATCTATGCCAAAGTAAATAATTGGGTATCACTTTTAAAATTCATGACAAAAGAGAAATTTACATAAATACCACACAATCCTTAAGTATTTACATATCAAACACCCAAAGTTTGATATATACACTTATAACACCTTGATGTCATAAAATTATGCATGAAAGGTTTAGTTTACTTTTAAAAAGATAGTGAAGGTGATATTTTTGATGTGATGTTAAAGATTTGAGTGGTATGCATGAAAATTTGAAAGTTTGGGAGTTAAATAAGTAAATACTTAAGAATGTTGTGAAATGTACGTAAATGCCCCTTAAAAAAAAAAACTGCTCTGTTGAAACTTGAAAAGCACCTGCTGCTTAAGATCATAAGGATCAGCACCTTTCTCCTTCATATTTGCTGTCTTTTCAGCCTCCATCTTTACTTCTCTTTCATATGAAACAAGTTCCTTAAGGACTCGCTTGCATGATCCAGTTTTGACCTTTAATTGTCGAAGAGTGGCCATCACAAATCAATCTCTCACTTTCCCGCTCTGTTCCCCTTCTCCGTAGGAAGTAACCACCGCCTGTATAAATTAAGGAAAGTGACCTCAAAATTTAAATAAAGATGGAACAAGAAGGATAAAAATGGTTAAACACCTTCTAAAGGCTTTCCAGTAGTTTTGTATTGATGGAGGGGCTTTGCGCCAAATTAAAGGGAAGGGAGGGTGGAGTTGGGGAATTTAGATACATAGTTAAAAGAAAAATTCTCAAACAGGTTTGAACAATAGAAATGAACAACAGAGTTTTGATCCCTTCTTATGCCAAAACCAGTATAGTTAAGGAAAATACAGATGCTTTAGAGTATAATCTGGTGATGATAATCATAGTCATAACCTTGATGCAAGAAATACAAGCAGAACTAGGTGAAAATATTGTTGGTAATTCTAAAAGCTATTATGTACAAAAAAAGATAGGGGCATTTACATATATATGACCCAATTTCTATGTATTTATAAATCTAACACTAAAACTTTATTTTTTACATTTATACCACCTAAATCTTTTATATCACATAAAAATACCACTATTTTAGCTTTTGAAAAGTGAAATGCATCTTACATAGGAATTGAGGGGTACGTATGTAAATCTTTGAACAAGATAAAATTATTTAGCAAAATTTTATAGCCGCATCATCCTCGTCAGCCACCTCACAGGCACCCCCACCCAACTATGCATGACTCCTTTATCTTTAATTTGTTTACTGATGCCAATACAATTTTTCCAATCGCGTTACCTTTGATTCAATCTCTTATTTTCTACTAGTTCTGCACTTCAACATCAATCCTACCGTCCTAATTATAAATGCCTCATTTGATCTTTATTTTACATGCCCAAAGCACAGTCTATTTCTAAAACTCTATTTCTACAAATCTTTAAAAAGATTTACCTACATACCACTCAATTCCTACATATTTACATATCTACCCACCTAAAATTTAATTTTTACAAAATTTAATTTTTACATTTATGCCACAGTAACTTTGCTTGGAAAGGTGTATTTTACCTTCTAAAAGTCAAAATTAAGGTATTTTTGATGTGTGGGTGGAAAAAATGTAAAAATAAAGTTTGGGTGTTAGATATATAAATGCATAGAAATTAGGTGATCTGTATGTAAATATCCCAAATATTTTTATAAATAGGTACTGCATACAATGTCCTTAATGATTTTACTGCACATTCATCCTAATTCATTATCGCTACTATAATGGTACAGTCATCTTGATTGTTGGAGACTTCTTTCCTGTGATCACACTGATTTATCCGGCTCCGAATTTTGTTAACACAGAGTGTGCACACAGTGCATGTGGCCCATGATATATGTTGACATAGATACCTTTGAACCGTTGAATAAAATGGTTATTTTCTCATCTAAAATTTAGCTCGTATAAGATACAATCAAAATATTTCAACTTATCATATGTAGCATGCTCAAATGACTGTTGTCAGGTCATTATTATGTCACATGTACTTGGTCTTTCTACCACTAATCTAAATCTCCTTTCTTTAAATTTTTCTATCAAACCTTTTCATTTACATAGAAAATCAACTTAGATATCAGGGTCCTATCATCTGGATATTGCATAGACGAAGCAAGTAGCTATGAATATTTGTGATAGGCATAACAGATAACACATATAGGATAAGAGTCCGAGTTAAACGGATAAGTCAGGGAATTTTCATCAAAAATCATTTTGCTACTCTACAACAAAATTTAATATTAATCACTAACTGACATAAGTTTAGCATATTATGCACTTTACTGTCTCAATACCCCACATATCATGGTAATGAATCATAAAACTTAAAATATCTTAAAATTGTAAAAACTCATATTCTCTTGGCTCTTTAACTATCTTAGTTTATTATCATAAACACAAAATAATAATAAAAAAATAAATAAAAAGCTTTGTAGTTTATCTTCCTATTATTAAATCAAATTAACCCAAAAAAATTAACTTAAAACTTATTACACCATCTTATCGGACAATTTTTTAATATTACTACTTAATATTCTTAAAAGCATCTTTGAAGCATGCTTCACGTGCAAAGCGAAGTGAAGCGCATGAGGCCTGAGCATTGAATCATTGAAGCAAAGCAGTTCGTACAGTTCACAATTTAGTGAGAGGGAATAAAAGACTACTAAATTAATTTAACTTGTTTTATAAAACTTAAGACTATATTAGTTTATTCATGTTTTAAAATTTAGATTTTATTTTGTGTAATAACAATTTTTTTTGCAATATTTAAATTTTTAATTATCGTTGCAAACTATTAAAAATTATTTGAATTTTTTTTACAGGTTCATCCTCAATGTTTGACTTCAATTATATATTGTATCATATTTTTTCTATTTTATATCAACTTTTAAGTCATTTTATATTATCTAATTGTCAATGAAGCCATTTATACATTAATTGTTTTAACTAACCTATAAGCATTTCAGTTAATAAAAATACTGCATCGGCAATTTGCGCTTTGAAGCAAAAATAAAGTCTTGCGCATAACATTGCGCGTTATGCTTTGATAACAATATTGTACTTCTTATCAAATAATCAAAATAATCCATAGAATTTTCAAGTGTGTCCAATTTAATCCATTAACTTTATGCGTTCGATTTCGTTTCTAAGCTAACCAATTTTGATTTAAATTGGTTCAATCATAAATTATGTTGTTTCTAAGCATGAAAATTGGTATAGAAATGTGTTTCATGAGTACATTTTGGCTTTTTGTTTAGTTAATTTTATTAGTTTGAGTTGAAAATGAGTTGTGAGATTGACCCTAAAAAATAAAAAATTAGAATGTTAAATTAGAGAGTGCCCACAATTCATGTAAAAAATTAGTAAAATATTAACTATGAAAAAAACTTTTTAAGAGTTTATTAAAAGTTGAAAAATAGACCTCTTTTACAACTGAATTTTCATGATAAGTGAATTATTTTCTTAACTCCTTGCAACTCTCCTTCTGTCTAAACCCTCTCTGTTCAGCCCATCATGCTCTCTCTAGAAATCAGGTGACCAACCATCGTTATTTTCCTAAACCAACCCCCCCCCCTCCTCTCTCCCTCCCTCTCTTTTTGTTTACATAAACAAATTATCATTCTAGTTCAAGGCCTAAAGCTAATTTTCAGTAGATTCTCTCTCTCATTCTAGTGTCACCTTACCCTCTCTCCAATATCCAAATCGTAACTTGGTTGAACCTTCAAATAAACCCAACTCATAATAGAAAACTTTGAGAAGCATGAAATTTCTTTTCAAATTAAGTAAAAATCCTAAAGGACAGCCTATCTACATATTATTTGACACCATAAACATAATGACTACACCCACAAGCCTATTTCCCCATCACCAATCAAGGATGAAAGAAGGTTTGTCATTAACTCCATCTCAATTTAAGATCACTGGTATTCTTATCTTTCATAAATAAACTTAAGTTTTACATTTTCCCCAGTCTAACAAGACCGGAATTTTTACAATAATAACATTAATGTCGAAGGACCAAGAAGAAAATAGAGAATCCTAAGGCAACGTGCATATAACTTGTGCAAAACAATTAAAATGCAAGCTACCACTTTCATAATAACTTTCAACCACTGCTATAACTTATCAAAGACACATCATTTACTCTAATAGGTGGCAAATTTTGTCTATAGGAAAAATAAAAAAAGGCGCTTGCTTTCCCTAGGTAATGGATGAGAAACATATAGATGTTATCAAATAGGTCATTCTTCATTCTTATGGAAAACGTACTTCTTATTGCAGTGTCCTTCAATCCTTCCTACCAAAACGCTTTGAAGCATAGATTCTAAACACTATGAAAAAACATGCGTTCCACAAAAGGCTTCCACATAACCCTACTATTTTAAATTTATGTATGTACATATTAATATATTTTATAAAAGTGAATACAAAAGCAAAATAAAATTTGATTTACCTAAAAGAATGACAAAACTTGTTATTCATGAGTATTTATGAACTTCTTTTCCTACTGATTGAACCAATAATTGATCTTCTAATAATAATATTTCCCATCTCATTTCATGCTAATGATAGGGTCGTTGCAAAAATTAAAGAAGAATGATTTTGTAGAATTTGCAGAAGGTAGTGGAAAATCTGAATAACATTAAAAAAGTTTTAATTAGGGTTTCTTTGAAGAATTTTTTCATCTTGTACCGGTTGATTTTTGATGGGTCATTAGTGGTTGGCCTATCCACAAATGTCTAAGATGAAACCCTGCATCTTCTTGGAAAAAAAATTACCACAAGCCCAACCATTGCACATAGAAATATTCAGCACTTTTATGTCTACTGAGGAACTTCATCTATATCCTTTTTCATTTATTTTCAAAGCATCACAGAAGACAATTAAATAATGCTTAAAACAGATATATTAAAAAACTTTAGTGAAATTTACATACATACCACACAATTCTTATATATTCACATATCTAAAACCCAAAGTTTGATATTTACACTTTTAACACCTTGGTGTCATAAACTTATGCATGAAAAATGTGAATTCCACTTTTAAAAAGACAGTGATAGTGCATTTTTTATACGATGTTCAAGATTTCAATGGTGTGCATATAAATACAAGAGTTTAGGTGTTAGATATGTAAATACATAACAATTCTGTGGTATGTATGTAAATGCCCCAACACTTTATCATATCAACGAGCATAAAACTGGTATCAGTAACTAAACTGGAAAATAGAGCCGTAGGTTTCTTGTCCGTCACAATAGTCAGGCAAATAGTTGAAAATACCTAAACTTAATCGACTATTACAGATAATACACAAAACAATCAAGTTAAAATCATTAATCATGATATAATTCAACCCTAGATATATGCCAAGCAGTCGTTCCACACTGCACATAACTGGTTTATGGATCAACAAAATTTAGCATCCATAATAAATCTAAGCAAGATAATCTAAACAAATTGCAAAATCATCCATAAAACTGCAGGAAAAACAGCACAGACATCCTTATTCCATCACTCTACTTGACATATTTGCCTCATCTTCTTCAAGAAAAATTAAACTACCAGAGAAGTGCTCCCGAATTTCCCATTTTTTTCCAATTTTTAGCGGAAAGTCCCATCAATGACATTGCATTTAGAAATAAAAAGAGCTGGGTTTAATTCATAGCAGGGATTTGCGATAATCTCAAGCAGAAAAAAAATAAATAGCAATATATCGCTCACTGGAATCGATCGGACAGAATGCCTGCGACGAACCAGCTCGTGATCGGAATGCCTGCATAGGGGTCGATAATTATAAAGGTTTACACACATACCACGCTATTCTTATTTATTTACATTTATTCTAAGGGTTAATTACATACAGTCCCCCCGATATTTTCTATTTAGAAATCAATGCTCCAGTTTTTACTCAAATATCAATATACATGATAAAATCCAATTAATATTTTTTCTTATTTTTATCAAATGCTCAATAATTTAATCGTGGCACGTATAAATATATCATAGTTTAAAATATAATTTGAATGATAAATTTATAAATATCAATATTTTGAATGATCGAAATGTAATTATCTCATATTTTAACTTTTACTTATTATTAATTTATTTAATGTGATATAACAACTTTTTAATAAAATTTTGAATGTAATATATTAAATACATTTGTGTTGACATAAAAATTTTGTGATATGCAGGTAAATCTTCTATGTAATAATATAATAGAATATTACTTAAATGGGAATATATTCATTTCTTATTTATCAGCTAATTTTTTAATAATTTGGAAATTTTCAAATCATTAATTTTTATTTATTCAATGCATTATATCACTTTTAGGGAGATTATAGGTAATTTATTATTTACAAAGCAACCACTCACTTCATCAGTTTTTCCAAATTTTCACTCAAATATTAAAATTCACGATAAAACCCCAACTCACTTTTTTTTTTTTTTCAAATTCTAAATAGTTTGATCAATGCTTGCATAAATACATTGGTTTAGTTGTTCGAAAAAATCTTCTTAATTGTTAATTTGTAAATATTAATATTTTTTGGTGATCTGTATATCCTTTATATTTATACCTCTGTTTAGAAAATCGAACCGAACTTAACCAATCGATTTAACAGGTTCAACTGTGAATCAACCTATGATCTGATTTGAGTTGGCTTAAAAACCGCCCCCGCATCGAACTAGATTGAACCGACAAAAAATGATTGATTTAAACTATTTTCTTACATTTATGCCAATAGTTTTATGTAATTTACATGCATAACATCTAAGCTCTCTTTTTTACATTTATACCACCAAAATCACTCTTATCACACCAGAAATGTCATTATCCAAAATCACTGGTATCACACCAGAAATGTCATTATTACAAAGAAATTCAAATTAAATAGATGCCACCTAATTTTATTTATTTATGTATCTAATATCTGGACTCTTTTTTTTTTATTTATACCATCAAAATTATTTATATGATCACTATTTCTAAAAAATGAAATACATGTTTTAATGCATAGTTAAAATGACATTTAAAATTGAATTTTAACTTCTTGATATTCAGAGGAACGACGACCTAAAGGACAACATATTCCGGCGAACGATCACCATTTCAATCTCTTGGGGATCTTTACGGCCGGAGCCGGACTTGGGATCTCGTCAGAAGCTTCACGTCATCTTCAAAAGGGGAATTCTGAGGAGAGAGCTGCAAAGTTTACCGAATCGCAACCAATGGGTGTGACGAAGATCAGCTGTGGCTAACGCGAGATATTGTTGCGTCACCAGGTATCACTGGCTTTTTTCTTATTGTCGAACTGAGAACTAATCGAGGCCTAGAGGAATCTCCAATAAGAAATAATTTGAGGATAGAATCAGCCCAACGAACAGTTTCCAGTGAAGAGGCCGGAGGGAGTTCGACGATATTTCTTGCCGGTTAGTGCACGAGAGGACATTTCAAACGGTATCATTCGTCAAAATATTGTCATTCATGGAGTCTTCATTTGGGCACCTACAATCTATTGGAGAAATAAAACATCAGAATGAAAGTTTTTTTGCTCTTATTTGATTTCATCTTGATATATTTTCAAACTTAAATCTTACTCTTGTCTTCTTCGGATACGCAATTTATCAGTAATGCTGGAGTTTGCATTTATTTAGCTGCTCAAAAGAAGTTTTGGATAACTTCCAAATCCAATTTTGACTATCGGAGCACGGTAAACATGAACGTTCTGGCATAATTTCATGGTAAGACAAAATGAGAGTCTTCTACTGGTTTTATCAATTAAGCCAGAAAATATCATGTATGGGCTTACAAGCAAGACCTGCTTGCTGGATCATTGTAAGATTTTAGTTCTTTTGATTGAATCAAACATCAAATCATTCAATTTTTGCATGTATTAATGCATTACTTCTCTTCCAGGTTAACAGTGGAAGATCTTCATCTTCTATACTTAGTCATGGTTGGCATCATGAGTTTGGTAGGTATCAAAAATTAAATTTCAGCTCAAACATTTCCCATATTTCTGGCACCACCCAATCAGTTCTTTCATGGGAAAGCTCATTATGTGAATCTCCCCTGAGAAAACTTGAAGCTGCTTTGGAAGAGAACAGTGTGGATGATGCTTGGGAAGTTTTCTGTAGCTACAAAAGCTTGCATGGATTCCCTAAACAAGTGCTTGTGAAAAAAATGATCAACTTGATGACATGCTCATTAAGTTCTCACTGGCTTCTTAAAGCATATCAGTTGGTGCTTTTGGTTTTGTATAAGAGTCCTCATCTTCTTGACTATGACTCTCTGACCAGATTAGCTCTCGTTCTCGCCAGAAGTCAAATGCCTGTTCCGGCATCCACAATAATGAGGATTTCATTAGATAGATTTAAATTTCCATCATTCAATTTAGTTAGCACATTGTTTTATCATTTGGTTAAGTCAGATATTGGATCATACCTTGCATCTAATATTCTTATTGAGATTTGTGAACAGTGTCTACATAAAAAGGCAGATACAAAAAATTCTAAGCAACTGAAGCTCATAAACCAAAGTATTACAATGTTCAACCTTGTATTGAATTCATGCTCAAAATTTGAGTCTTTCGAAAAAGCTCTGCTAATAATAAAGTTCATGTCACAGATAGGAGTGGCAGCTGATGCAAATTCGATTATTATATTTGGTCGAATATATGAGAAACTCGGGCAACATGATGAATTGATGAGATTGAAAGCACATGTTGATAGCGTTGTTTATGTTGGATTAAGTCGCCATTATGCTCAGTTCTATGACAGTTTGCTGAACTTGCTTTTCAGATGTAATGATCTTAATACTGCCATGGAAGTTATGCTGGATTTGTATGGTCGACCAAAATCCTTTCAATGTGGTGATGGTTTAAATGCATTAAAAAATGGATTAAGAAAACCTTGCGTGCTTCAGATTGGATCAAACAATCTGGCTATGGGATATAAAATTGTGATTGAACCTGATCACTTGGGGAGTGATTTCATTTTGGATCCATCAGATCCATCTACGTTGGTTCTCTTCTATGACGGAAAGGTTGCTCCAAGTACAATGGCTCTTTCAAAGCTTATAAATGGCTTCGTTAAAGAAAGACGAGTCGGTGAAATTTCAAAATTTCTAATTGAAATGGAGAAGAAACTTGATTCAAAAGACGCCAGTTTTAGCACATTCGTGTTAGCTGCGTGTATGAAGTTGGGTTGGTTGGAGACTGTCCATGATGTTTTAGATGACTTAGAGTCAGTTGGCATTTCTGTTGAGGCCATTTTGTACAAATCACTATTTCAAGCCTACCGGAAGAAAAACCTTATTGGAGAATCTAAAGTGGTGCTGAAGCAGATGAGAAAAATTGGCCTATTTGCTAACTTATCTGATGAGGATGCTGTAAGCTCATGTCTTTCTGGAGATTTCTCTATAAAACCACTCGAAAATAAACAATATTTTGTAGGGAATATATCATGCTTTGTAGGGCATCTAAGTAGAGAGAGCAGGGATAAGGACTCGATCTCTCCATTGGTTTATGATTTTAATAGTACAATCCTATTCTTTTGCAAGGCCAATATGATGGAAGATGCTATTAAAACATTGAAGAGGATGCAGCAGAAAAACATCCATCCTACAATCCAGACATTCAGCTATCTATTAAATGGGTATTCTTCGTTAAAGATGTATCGCCAAATCACAATATTGTGGGGAGAGATTAAGAGAAGATTTGAGGATGGAGTTTTGTCTGTACACCAGGACTTTTTAGACTGTTTGCTTATGAATTTCCTTAGAGGTGGATATTTTGAGAGAGTAATGGAAATTGTTAATTATATGATAAGGCATAACATTTTTGCTGATAAATGGAAATATAAGGAGGAATTCCTCAGGCTCCATAAAGATTTGTACAGGAATTTAAAAGCTGCAAATGCAAAAACAGATGCTCAGAGGAATAGGCTTGAGCATGTTCAAGCTTTTAGGAAATGGGCGAATATCGTTAGCCGGTAGAAAAGACATAGTTATAGAGGCTACAACTTACGACTTGAGTGAGCCTTTAACATGTATTGATTGGTTGATCCAAGGAAACTTTGGTGAGCAGCTATATTTGCTAAAGGCATTTCGGTTTTAAAGAAAATTTAGCATTGGTATTTCTTGGTCTTCTTTCCAGGTAAAATCGTATTCATGATCTTCAATGTTTTTGCACCAAATAAGTTAATTATGACAACATATCCACCTTGGAAAACTTTCATGCATTATGATATGGATAAAATTAGCATCCAAAATAGTGAAAGTCATTTGAAGTAAAAATTACAGTCCAAGGAAAGCTGGTGGAGTGGAAAGAATTTTATGTGTGGTACACTAAAACATAATAAGAAGATTTACATGCACACAACAAGGTTCTTATTTATTTACATATCTAACGACTAAGATTGGATATTTATATTTATAACACTTTGGTGTCATAAATTTATGTATGAAAATGTATATTTTACTTAAAGTTAGATATGTGGTATTGTTTATATAATATTAAATATTTGAGTATTTTGTATGTAAATATAGAAGTTTAGGTTTTTGATATGTAAATGTATAAGAATTGTATGTTATTTTTGTAAATGCTCCAAAATAATATCACAAATGATGAGGCAAATTTACCTATTTCTATTTCCATATTTTCGATGAAAAGGAAAATAATTTTTTAATTTAGTTTTCTTGTTTATTTTGCACAACTTTTGTATGATAATGCATCATGTTGTGGCAAGTTTTAAAAATACAATTCTGAAATTGAGGTGTTTCTTCTCATCAAGGCAAGGTGTAAATCTCAAAATTGATAGAGGCATTAGCCTCAAACTAAAAAATAAAAAATAATAATAAGAGATATTGTACGCTAAATCTTGAGATTATCCCACAACATTTGACCATCTTAATTTCATATCATTTCACTTAGGTTGAAGGAAAATATTTTCTCAAAAAGCTGGAAGGGTGGCGGTCATGATAGTATTGAGACAAAATTAGACCATGAGTATCTTAAACAATAACTTTAAAATTAATCACCCGCAAAAAGATTTGGAGGCTTGGGATGACATTCGCTATGAATTAAATTAGTAATATGGGCAATTGTCCCATTTTAGAATAACTCCGATGGTAGTGAGTTGTGCTAATATGAAGTTAATCAATAAAAGTGAGAAAGTTGATAAAAATATAGGAATTGCGTAGAATCCTATAGAGCGGTTGCTTAAGAATATGGAAATCCTTATGTTGTTCTTGCTTGCTAATGTCATGGCAATAGATGGAAAATATTGATATGGCTTAAAGCTACGGTTTAGATACAATTGTGTTTGAAAATGTTGCTCTGAGATTAATGTCAAAGAATAATTAATTTGTTATCAATTTGTGATGAATTTTCATGTTGATATTTTTCTTTTCTTGATCATTAGAATGACTTTAATTTACTTAATTTTGTTGTAGATATAAGGGAACTAAAAAAAAGTATTTATGAGAATATATAAGGGATCAGGTCCTAAGCTCCATGGCATGTCTTCTAGTACTATGATGACGGGGTATTTTAGTGATTGAGTAATGTAATAATTATTAGGAAGTGAAAGAGCAAAGAGAGGAAGCATGTTAAGGACGATGAACCAATTGGTGATCAAAGTTGGTTTCTATATATCAGTGGTAAACTCAATTTCAACCCTAAAGCATATGTTTCAGTGTGAGAGTCAACCACTCATTTTCTTATACCAACATATTTTTCAAATATTTGATGTGAGAATAAATCCAAAGTTTTACATGTTTATGCGTGTAAGAGAATTCATAGCGGTAGAGTGATAAATTAACATGTTAGTCTTGGATGAGAATCCAACACACACTTAGATATTAGAACTGATTGGCAGAAAACAACAGAAGATTTTACGTGGAACCCCCAAAAAGGGAAAAAACATGAGGTCTTGCCCCAGTTAATATTCCATTGAGTTGGTTATTACAGGTACAACTCCTTATCCTATAAGCGAGAAAGGGTTACACAACCTCTCAAGTTACAACTTCGGTGAGCGGAAGGACTTGTGGCCCCACGGTAGGGAGCAGTTGCAAGGGAGAGCAATAGTTGAAGCTTCAATGCACCATCTTCGGGATCGACATGATGCCAGGGATGATGCATTGCTTCGTAAGTTGCTCTATACGGTGCTTTGTCGTAAGAGTGGCAGGCGATTGATGGTGATCGGCGACAGTCAGCAAGTGGTAGTAGTCGGTGGTTGGCGGTGATCGACAGCTACAGTAGCATGAGGCTTTCGTCGGATCGTCATTGTAGAAGTAATGTTTGACTTCTACTTCTTCTCCAAGTTTCAGTCTTTTTCAAGCTCCATGAGGGGACAGGGCTTTAATTATAGAGTCTATGTTACAAATAAGTAAGAAATTTATACCACTATTGATCAGACGACCTAGAGAGATTTGCTTGATTAGACAGAGTTCGATGTACATTTTAGTGTCTCAATGATGTCAGAATTGGGTGATCTTATAGTCGTTGGATTTTTCTTGTCGATACGCTTGATTTGACTATAAGTTTGCCAGATTCGAAATATGTTTGATCGTTTAGTTATGCTCGAAAAGCTTCCAATTGTGATTTAACAGCTTGATCTATGCTTGATTTGAGTAGAATTGGACTGATTTTTGGTACCATTGAGTTTGTCTCGTTGAGTCGGTCAGTTTGATTGTAAGTTTGTTGAAATCGAAGTTTTGGATGACTTTTAATCAAAATTTGAACATATCTTTTTAAAAAAATTTTCACGAGATCTGTACCATGTCTCGAGATTTGTATTAGATCTTGAAAATTTGTTGATGGTGTATCACATGCCTTTGTAATTTTCCTTCATACGAACGCTCTCTGCATTGGCTTTTAATCATCCTCAAAAAAGAAAACTTTTCAACATCATCAAGTATCATACAATTAGAATTCAGTACCACTCGAAGGCACCATGGAAAGAAATTGTTTTTAACTAATACTCAATAATAACTAAGAATGACTCATATGAGCCAGAAATGTTATGAACCACTTTATTCCAATTGAGTTTTCCACTCTAGTACCACTTGCTATAGAGAATGGACTCAAGGAAACCCAAAGTTGGCCTACATACACAAGTGGTGAAATCTATGAGAATCACAAATTTTGTGATACCATTTGTGGGCCTAAACTTGAGGCCCCATGTTTCTCAATAAGGCCGAACCATGATATAAAATTTATGGTAGAGATATGGGAAAGAAATCTTTTAGTTATAATTTATTATTTAATAATTCAAATAAAAATCATATAACCTATATTTATAAAAGTAAGGTTATAAGATAAATTTTAATAATTATTATTATAATTATTATTATATTAATTCTAATTAATTTAAATTCAAATATTATTCAAATCTAGATAGCTCTTCATAATTCTTTTATTTACTTTCTAAAAATGGTAGATTGGCGTGGAGCTTCAATGGAGGTTGCGGTTTTATGAAGGAGATTGTTTTGGGTGTTGCTAGCAAAGAAATATTACTTGCAAACAACGCAGGTGCAGAATGTCACTCAATAGGACCACAATATCACAAATCTGCATGTACATTATTCGCATGTAATATTTTCTTGTTGGGAGCATGGTATATGGAGAAAGGAGGCAGGCAGGTTGTGGGAATCAAATGAAGTGGGATTGTCATGGAGTTCTAAGAGGCAGAAATTGGTGTGATCATGGTGTGAAATAGAAATTAGATTTATGAAAAAGAAAGGGTCTTTAGGATGGCTTTCCCATTAGTTGGATTGTAGCATTTATAGCCTTTAAAATATGAAGCATGGCAGATTAAAATGCAGGGAATTGAGCGAGGAGCAAATTTGTTGGAGGTCTAAGGGCACAACTAATGAAAACATAAACAATCAACTACTTGAAGATGGGGGTAATTTGGAAGTTTATTATGGTGGAGCTAATATTGAGAGATATTATTTGTAGTGAAGATGATAAGCAAAGAATAGGATCAATATCAGTAAATAAAATATCAACCCAAAATGAATGGTGTAGATGATCTTCAAATCATAAAACTTTGAACGATTTCCGAACGTGACAATGTTTATGTTGTACAACACAATTTTACTCAAGTTATGAGGGCAGAAATATCATGTAAAATGCCAAATTGTATAATAATGTTTTGTAGAGAGTTGTTGCAAAAGTTTTCATCATCCAATCAGAGAATTTTAATATGATGATTATACTATTTTTCAACAAAAAATTTAAATGTAAGAAAGCACGACATGGCATCTATTTTAAACTTCATTGGAAAAACCCAACAATATCAGAAGTAAGCATCAAGAAAAGAAACATAATATTTGAAACCATGTTTTATGCAGGATGAACTTCAAATATCACTATGACTAATTTCAAGTGGAATACATGAATGATTGGGTGATTTGCTAAAGGGAAGCCGATTACTTTTAGCCATCTTATCAGCAATACAGAAAGCCTTGTAATTTAACGTAAGAACTCATTTTTACATGATTTATTGAGTGTTGTAATTGTATAGAGATGGAGATTAGAGATCTATGGCAATGCAGTGCTGCAGAGCTCTTTAGTTTGAAAATGGAGGTTCGGGCCGCAATGGCAAACGTGTTTGAATCTTCTGAGTTTCTCTTCTTTTAAAGTGGTTGTTTGCTTTTCATTTAGAGGCTTTTTGGCTTGCTAAATTGCCAATGTAATGCATAATTTCTTGCAAAAGTTCTAAAAAAAATTGGCGTTCTGTTTGATGAAAAGGAAATGCAGTATAAAAGTTTGATGAGCTTTACTTTTGATGATTCAAAACTCAGTTGATTTGGCCAATTTTCAAATATATCGCACAAGATATCGTTGTTCTCATCCACCACCCGTTACCTGCCACCAGCTAGCATCCACGGGCGGGCTTTACATTGAATTCATTTTATTTCAAATCAAACACAAAAACAAAAAGTAATACTAAGCATTTATGTTACACCAATCAAATAATTATAAAATATTTCAAATATATTGTATTGTTTTTACTCTATTTTTCTTTTTTATTAAACCAAATAGTCCCAAATAAAACTAATGAGTGGTTAATCCTAATTTTTCTGTGAATCATACCCAAAGAATAGAGCGTAAGACATTAAAGAGAAAGAGACAGAGAGAGATGCACAGTATGAACAATACTCTGAAATGTTGATTTGCCTTTTCTTTTAAAATGATTTCTCAATTTATACTGGAGGGGGTACATATTAGATGATATTTTAGAAAGTTTACATGTGGGGGCCTACAACCCAGCTACCCTTTGACTAAGTCGGTTGAACTCAATGGACCTCGGTTGGGCAAGGCATGCTAATTCGACTATGCTACATCGGGATGGTCGGTTGTTTTTTGATGGTCTACAGGTTGGCTTGCCTTAACTCAATCAACTTAGCTTTGTCGATCAGTTATTCTAGCCTGGTTGTCGACTATTGATCCATGGATGAGGAGCTCCTGCCGACATAATGAAACTAGGCTATCTCGCAGTGGGTGAGTCATTGTAATCCAATAGATAGCTCACTCATTGATTAGAGAATTCTTCAGGGTATTCGTGGGTTATGTTATTGTCAATTATTGACCCTTGATGAGGAATATCAACATTTATGAGATTGCTGACAACACTGAATTATTTCCTTGAGTCGGATTGCGATGATAGGCGGGTTGATGCCTTTGCTTGACTTGATTAGCCTTAGTCCTTGCTTTGGGTGGCCTGCACCCGGTTGGCCTTGGCCCCTATTTGGGGGTTGTCTGGTCAAATGAGTTATTTGATATTTGATTAGTAGGCCTTCTGTAGCTGTACTTTTCTATTTCATAGTTTGCTGGATCTTCTCGAGATTCATGATGGGTAAATTCTGATTTATATATTTTAGTTCATCGATTCTCTTACTTGTTGAAAATAACATCTGCGATAAAAGTAAAATAATTAAATGTAAAAATAGATATCATTTATTTCGTAATCAAAGCTTGCATAATTGAACTATGGATTTTTGTGCCTATGATTCTTATAAATACGCTTGATTGGGCCCTTTGTCATTCTATATTTGCTTTGAGTCTCTGCATATGAGTTGATCGGCTCTCAAAAATCTTTATGGTAAACGATTTGAAACCTTCGGGAGAGGCCCCTAGTTTGTAAATAATGAGGACCACCTTCAGATTGTCTGCGTTGTGATCCCTCCTCAAGGCAAAAAAAATCGGAGGGAGAGAAGTGCCTCGAGGGAAAAAAGAGGGATGGAGAAAGTAGGCCAGAGAGCGAAGGGCGAAGGGCGAAAAAAGAAGTTTGTTTCCAATAAACGGAAGACAGTTGAATTGACGGACAAAGTGGAGTCATCAAACTAGCTCCAAGGTCCCTAGCAAGGGAAGGATCTGGTGGAAAATGGAAGTTGGTTGGGCGATCTGATCGTCAACTCGTGACCCAACCTTCTGCAGCGGCCCATGACCAGCCGATCGAATAACCTGTGCAGGGAGCCGCTGGAGCTCCTTTGCTCGAGACGTAGGAATTTGCTGGTGCATTGTTGTTGACCCAAGGTTGGAGGATTGCGAGCGTCCCACGACACCTTGTTAGAGCAGTTTGTCGCTTCGGTGGTCTGAGGTGGATTGGACCCATTATGGTGTCGTTGGATCCCTCTCGTCGAGCCGTTCAATTTGGCTATAAGTTTGTTGAAATCGGAGTTCTGATAACTTTTAATTGAAGTTTGAATATTTCTTGCTAAAAAAATTGCTTCGAGGTTCGTGCAGTGCCTCGAGATTTGTGTCGGATGATGAAATTTGTTAATGGCATATCATTGATGTAAAATGTTAGATTAACAAGGCTTTGTAGAGAGTTATTACAAAAGTTTTCATTGTCATTTATTCAGAGAATTTTAATATGATGATTATACTATTTTTCAACCAAAATTTTAAATGTAAGTAAGCCCAACGTGGCATCAAATTTAAACTTCATTGGAAAACCCCAACAATATCGAGAGTAAGCATTAAGGGAAAAAAAAAACATAATACTTGAAATCATGTTTTGAAGCTATGCAGGGTAGACTTCCAATATCACCACGACTAATTTCAAGTGGAATACATGATGAATGATTCGGTGATGTTGAGAAAATTAGGGCGAAGAAAAACAAGAGCGACACAAATCCAGAAGAACACAGAGATTTAACGATGTTCGACAAAGATGCCTACGTCCTCTGGAGCAGTGGAGCAGAGCCTTTTCAATAATCAGAAAAGAGTTTACAGAAATCAGGGATACCTCCTGGGGTTACTAACTGACATATTTATAACCCCAGGAGTAAACCTAGGCACACTAAATGCTATGAATTTACATATCTTATAACTAAACTTTATTTTTTCACATTTATACCACCCAAATCTCTTAAATCACATCAAAAAAATCAGCGTCTGTCCTTATATGGTATATGAGTCATACCATAACAGGTGATTTGCTAAAGGGAGGTTGGTGGCTTTTAGCCATCTTATAAGCATTACAAAAAGTCTTGTAATTTAACGCAAGAACTCATTTTACATGATTTATGAAGTGTTGACAATGTAGTGTTGCAAAGCTCTCCTGTTTGGAAATGGAGGTTTGGGCCGCAATGTCAAACTTGTTTGAATGTACTGAGTTTCTCTTTTTTTTTTTAAAAAAATGCATTTTAATTACCATATAAAAAAAAATACAAAAAAAAAACTATGCAAGTATGCATTTATGATGTATAAAAGTGAGCCATGTCATCTACAAGTATAGAGAATTCCCTATCATCATTTATATGCAATAAAGGAAAAGAATTGCTAAGGGCGCGCTTAGCACAAAAATGGGCGACCCTATTACAATCACGAGGCATATAAGAAAAAATAACTTGTTTAAAGTTCAACCAAAAAGTCAGTTCTTATGCAAAAAGCGGTTGTCGATGCCACATCGCTTGAGTCATAGAAGAACTAAGCAATTCCATCACATTTGAGTTATCCCCTTCAATAATAATTAGTTCAATTTTAAACATCTAAGGTTGGCAAATATGGTGGAGGGAGCGAACTACCATAATCTCAATACGGGTGCTGTCCCAATGCTGAAAATGCTGTCCAATTGCAGCAATAACTCTGCCTTACTCGTCCCGGATGATGGCCCCTGTACCGACGATCCTGGATGGGAGTCAAGCCCCGTCGACATTCATTTTCAACCACTCATGAGGAGAGGGATGCCAGGAAGGTGAACGAACCAACCCCGAAGATCGGCTAGCATCCCAATGCCCTTAAAATGGGTAAAAATAAGTCTTGGTAAGGGCCTCAAGAACTATTGCAACAATGATGGAGGGAGTGTCATGCATTTCATCACAAGTCTTAGCGTTACGAGCACGCCAATAGTGATGAATTGCGTAGCAGAAACATCTGGCTTGTGCCATAAAATCCATTCGGATAGAACTAAAACCCTCAATAGCTTCAATAAAGATATTATAACCGGTAAGAGAAAATTCCCAAGAGCTCAAACTATCTCTAATCTTGCAGAAACATAAACAATAAGAGCACCACACTGGGACAGACCCTAGGACATGGAATATCAATCGCAAGGCCCCTCCTAGCGAGCCAAATACAAGTAGGAATGGCGTCGTGGAGCAAATGCCACCTAGAGAAACGCACCCGCGGATGAAGTTGAAGCTTGTGGAGCCACATCTGTTGGGGCTCGACATCAGGAAATATTAGCCTCATAGGCTAAAGAAGTTATGGTCTTCCCCGTATGAATTTTATTTTATTCAATGCAATCCTCAGCCATATCTTGATGGATTTCAATTTGAGTGATAAGTGCAACTATTTCATTGCCAAAATAATTAATAACCACCTGTTGATTCCAAGCACCGTCCGTAAGCAGGTTAGATACCCGTCCATCCTCCAAGACTCCAATATTAGCAGGACGAGGCCAACGATTGTTGGGAGTATCAACAATCCACGCTTGATTTAAAATGTCTATGTTGTTCCTGCTGGCAATTTTCCACCGCGAGATAGGCTGAAGATATCGGAACCCCTCAATGACTTTCCACTAGATTGAAGTGCTGCAGTTAAAACTTTGGGCGGAGAAATCAAGCTTATATTTTGCTTGCCAATCATTTATAAAGAATAGAATTTATGTCCCGTAAAAAATTCTATGCAATGCGAGCCCTTGAAGGTCCCCTCCAATTCTTGGATGCCTGAAAGCCAAGACCACCAACATTTTGTGGTTTACATGTTGCTCCCAGGCAACATGATGAACAACATTATGTCAGTATGTGTGAGAAGATACATGGACATAGGGAGAAGAAATGAGTTGATGAGAGTGGCTCTACCTGCAAGAGAAAGCTGTCGCGTGCCCCAGGCGTTCTGCTTGGATGTCACTTTTT